CCACTGCATTTTCGGGTTGGAAAGAGGAGGCAAAAAGGACGAAACCCCCCTCCCTCTCACCTTCCCCCCTCCCCCCGATCCTCTGCGTGCATGCGGACGGCTTTATCAGGAAAGAGAGAGGCTCCGGCAGCACCGTTGAACGCCCCGAATTCGTTCGGACGTGTGCGGTGGGGAACGGGATCTGATTCTTTTTTCGGATGTAGAAAACTGCAGGCAAAATATTTGGGGAGCGGCGAAGGATCGGAGCGGAGAACGGCGCTCGGAGGGACCGAACCGGATCGGGGGGACCCACACGGGCACATATGGGGGAATTCCGCCGCCTTCAATCCCGGAGAAAAGTCTCAAATATTCCCGGGTCAGGGGGCACCGGCTCATTAAAACCACCGCGGTCCTGGAACAGCACCGCAGACATTAAAGCGCAGTATTTTTCAATTAGAGCTGACGAATTCAATCAAAATTCCATAGATTAGGATGAAATGAGGCATGGGTCATTTACAGGGGAATTTAATTGCAGAGCCATTAGACAAATAGTATATTTGCCATTCTCACATTATCCATCATTTCAGACATCAATAGAAGGAACAGCATCTTTACTAATACAGCAGCACTTCCCAATCTCTGCCTGTAAACACTCCCTTTCCCCATAGCTCCTGATTATATCTGATTTCATTTAAAGCCATGGGGGATTATAAATGCTCATGCAATCAGGTTCATTAGGACTTCAAAATCTCATTTCTGATTCGTATCGCTTTGCGCATCGCCCGCCCCGGCGCGCTGCCACCGCTCTGCAAACCCAAAGCCGGGGCCGGGTCGGGGCCGGGGGGGGGACTCCGATAGGAGCACGGGACCCCCTCGGGGCTTTTGGGCCGGCTCTTGCCCGGGGTGGGGGGATCAGGACCCTGCAGGGACCCCACGATGGGAGACTTCGGGATCCCTATTGGGATCTCCGTTGGATTTTCCCTCGTGGTCCATTTGGGATCATTCTCGGAGTCCCCTCTGGGGTCTCCTCCGGGCTCTCCCCTGGAATCCCTTTAGGTTCCCCTCCCCTTTGCGGTCCCCTCCGGTCTCTCCCTGCCCCATTCCGTTCCCAGCCCCCTACAAGCGCAGCGCACGGCCGCCTTCATTCCCACCTTTTGGGGCTTTTTGGGGACGGGAGCTGCCGGGCGGGGCTCTCGGCATCCCCTACGGCTGCGGGGAGTGGGGAGCAGAACCGGACCCGACCCCCCGGGGCAGGGCGAGGAGCGGGGGCTCCGACATTCCGCCTTAATAGCGGCTTAATAGGAACCGCGTTCCATAAACCACGCGCATCCAGAGAGACCGACAAAAGCCTCCCGGAAAGCCTTCATTTCACCCAAATGTATCGTGTGTTAGCTGCCTCAGTAATTTAATTGGAATGAAACGTGAAAAATGTGTCATTTTTGAAGAATTTATGCATCGCTTCCCGGAAATCTCATTGTCTTAACTAGCAGCCTACTGCGTTCTGTTTAGCAGTCATAATCGCATTTTTATGTGGCTCCGTATTACAAGTTAATGCGACCTCCCGCCTCCGGCTGCCGTTCAGCCCCCGCCCGCTCACTGCCCTCCGCGGCTGCGGAGAACTGCGCGGCCGCGCAACTTTGCAAAACCAACAACAAAAGCAGCGCAAAACTATTTTGTGCTTATTATTGTTTCTATTCTTTTTATCGATTTTTTATTTTTTTTCTCCCGGTCGGGATTTGGATTTTTTTTTTTTTTTAATTTTGCCTTCTTTCTTTCTTTCATTCTTCCCTTGTCTTTTAGTTGCCTTTTACGACGTCCTTAGATTTCTTTTTTTATCTTTATTTTTTATTTTACCTTTCCTCTCTCTCTCTTATTTCGCTTTCTGTCCCACCTCCCACCCCCCCACCCCCCCTTCCCTCCCTTCCCAACCGGCCGCGCTCCGCCGTTCCCACGGCGCCCCCTGCGGGACGCGCGCAGCCGCGCAGCCGCCGCGTCCCACGCGTGTCCGCGGATCCCCCCGCGCACTTCCCGCTGTCTCCTAGCACAGCCCCGCTAGGGCACGGCATCTCTCCTCCCAACAGCTTCCAATTCCCCACTTAAACCCCGAAATAAACGTGCAAAGCAACCGTGCCACCACCGGGACAGAGCAGCGTGTCACACGTGCTTTGTAGTGGGGTAATTCCCGTGGCCCAGGAGTTGGAGACAAGAGGCATGGATCTGTGCACATCTGGCAGGGATCACATCCAGAACTCCGGTGAGGAACTTCTTTCCCTTCCCCATCTCCATGCTCAGTACCGGCTGCGGGAATCAGGGCCCCCATCCTGTACCCATCACTGTACTGAATAGAGGAGAGCTGTATGGGTGCAGAGCTCTGTGCAGCATCCAGCCCAACAAGAAAAAAGGCTGATTCTCCCCCTCTCCATTATTTTATTTGATAGTGAGTGTCATTGAGCAGTGAAACAATTGGGTGAGTGCTTCCAAGGGCTGTGTGTGCACACGTGCTTTGCTTCAGCCAGTCAATCATATGGGGATCCAAATGCTCCCTGCTGCTTTGTGCCAAGGCACCACAGGCAAAGCCCAAAGGGCTGCACACCCACCATCCTCTGTGCCTGGTGACAACGACAGGCAGAATGGGCACAGGAGGTGGCACCGCAGCCAGGGCAGTGGGTGAGAATCCTTGTGAGCTCCTTGATCCTGAATGTCACCCACACCTGCAGCACGCCTGTAGCAGCCACTCCTCATTTTATTACTCCTTATAATCCACAGAAAGCACAATTAGAAAAGAAAGGAACAAACGAATCGATACCAAATTACAGCTGAAAGCACATTTTGGTTGTGTTAGAAGTCCCAGAAAAGCAGCGATCTGTCACGACGACGACGGTGGCTCCTCTGCTTGGCCAGCAGCAATGGATGCTGCCACAGGGAAGATGCAGAGGATGGCTGTGCATTCAGAGCAGGACACCCTCAGGTTCCAGCAGCAGGTAATCCAGCAGTGGTTTGGGCACGGGCAGTGATGGGATGAGGCAGTGGCACCGGCTGCCAAATTTCTTCCGAATGGTGGAACGGCACAGGTGCTGTAGGGACCGGACTGTGCCTGCCAGGCGGAACAAGGACTCATAGAATGGCTGGTGCTGCTGCAAAGGGAGGCAGGGAAAATAAATGAGCACCTTATTATTATTACTATTATTTAGTTCAGCCAAACAAGCCAGAGATGGAGATGTAAGGGGAGGAGGTAAGAAATCCGCCATCGGTGTTCAGTGACGCAAAACTGAGATGGTGTGCTCTGTTAAAATGGGCTTCAATGCTTACAGCTACGCTTATTTTTGTTTTCTATTTTTATTCTTTTTCCCTCCTGTAGTGGAAATGCTAAGTCATGGCCTGAAGCACTGATTGAGCACCTGGTGGGAAGGCAGGGCCAACCCAGGGGAGCTCAGGTGCAAACAATGTACCTGAGTGACTGGAAGGGCTGGATCCACCAGGATCCACCCCTTCCCAGACCTTATTTAAGAGTTGGCAGTGGAGGTGAGGGCATTTTTTTGTTGGAGGTCCCTGTCTTCTAAAGGTAAGCTGAGGTCTTCTAAAGGTAACATCCATCCATCCCATCTCTCTCATTTGCTGCAGCCAAAGACTTTGCTACCCTGCTTTTGTGGCACCCATTACAGCACTACAACTCTCAAGGGAAGCTTCAAGTGTTTTGATTTCTTTCTGGGATCCCATTTGGTTTTTTTGGTCACCTGGAAGCCAGCTGCTCATGACAGCATTTTGATTTCTTTTCCTGGAGAAGGATTTGCTATTACCAGCCCCTGTTTTGGCCCAGTATAGGGATGGGCTGTGCTGCACAGCTGATCCCTCTGCTCCAGCCTTACCTGCAGGACCTCTTCTGGCACAGCCTCCACCCACTTCTCAGAGATGGGAATTTGTGAGTAGGAGTTGATGAGGATTTCAATGATCTCTGGCACAGCTGCACAGGATCTCAGCACCTAGCCATAGGCGAAGAGGGAACAGGTGATTGGGGGGTTAGATGGCATTTCCCAGAGTGGAATGTTCTCTGTAAGCTGTGGATGAGGCTCATCCCTTCCTACTGTGGTCTTAGAGGGTGACTGGGGCGGTCCCTTATGGATCTGAGTTGATATTTGCCTCTGCATATGTTGGATGTGCATTTGAAGACCTGCCTTGTTGTGGCAGTGCTTCACTTGGATGTGGCTCTTGCCTCCTGTTTACATTTTTGGCTTGTGAGTGTTAAGCCTGGGTAATATTTTCTTGATTGTTTGATGTAAAATCAATGAGACGCACAGCCATAAGAAGTCTGCACTGATGGCTGCTGTGCCAAGCCAGTGACATTAGGATGTGTGGAAATGGCCTCGAGTTGCAGCAGGGGAGGTTTAGATTGGTTGTGGGGAAGAACTAATGCTTGGACAGAGCAATCAAGCATTGGAAAGGGCTTCCCAGGGCAGTGATGGAGACCCTATTGCTGGAGATACTTAGGAGATGTGTGGATGTGGCACTGAGGAACACCAATTAGTGGTGCCAGGTGATGGTTGGACTTGATGGTCACAACAAAACCAAGCAGGGGGAATCCTGATTTCAAACCCCAGCCTACCCACAGCCCAACCTGCACCCACCAACACCAGTACCTTGGCAAAGGCGTGGGGCCATATTTTTTGGGATCCGTAGTTGAGCAGCAGCTGCACGACCAGGTGAGGCCTCAGCTCCTGCTTGAAGGCAGCCGCCTGCAGCACACAGCCCAGTGGGGAGATGCCGTTGTAGTCAATGGCATTGACATCTGCCCCACGTCTCAGCAGGAACCTCACCAGCACGTTGTTGGCTGCCCCACAGGCTTCGTGCAGAGGGCTCCTCTGCAGCTCGTCGCGTGCTTCCAGCTTGGCTCCATGCACAACGAGCAGCCTGCAAAGCTGCAGGGCATCCTCAGCAACATCTGGGTCCTGCCTGCAGACTAAGCCCAAAGCTGTCTCACCCTTGGTGCTGCGGGCATCCACGTCTGCCCCGTGCCTCAGATAGAGGTGGGCATGGTCATAGAGGCCGTGCTTGGCTGCCACGTGCAGTGCTGTCTCCCCGCTGTCCTCGCTGGGCAGGTCAATGGTGGCTCCATGTTTCAGCAGCAGCTCGGCGCATCTGTAAAGCCATGGTATGGGTGTGTGTTGGGGGGCCTGCAGAGAGGATGGGGAAGGGTTGGGATCCCATGGGGCCGTGGTGTTGAGGGGCAACCATTTGTTACAGGGTGTGGCACAGGGCTGCTCTTTGGTGCCGTGTTTCCACTCTGGTGGTGGTTTGGACAACGTTTCCCTCTTGTCTTAGAGCAATATCATTTTTGACTGCTATCACAACCAAGGTCATGCTGTCCCTACACCACAGGGGGATGGGGGCTCTCAGCCTGGCTGTGCCCGTACTCATGCAGATGCTTGGCCATGGGCTGGGTTCTGTTCCAAATAAAAGACCAGAGTGAGGACAGGTAGGGAGATGGGTTCCTTCACGCTGCCCATCTGTTGGGAATTTCATCTCCTGGGGTGCTTTGGAGCAGATCTACATAACCCAAATCCTCAGCTGACATTCATGCATTGGAGCCAAGTGGCACCATTTGGGACACCCTCTTCCACCTGAGGTCAGGAATCCTTCTGACAACAGATAGAAGCTGAAGGAGCTGGGTATGCTGCCACGGGTTTTGTGTGTATATGTGTCTGAGTAAGCTGATGTGATCAGCCAGTCCTAATGAATCAGGATGGCTGCCATGTTTCCTGCTGGGTGCTGTGGGGACAGTGAGGCACAGCAATGTCACCATAAAGCTGCAGGGGCTGAGCTTTGTGCCACCAAGCACTTGTTTTTTAGCTATTTCAGATGTTTTCTGGGGCTTTCTGCGGGGTCAGGCAGTGATGCAGAAGCAAAATGAGGGGAAGCTGAGTGGGAACAGAGAGGGATGGGGAAGAAGAGGAGCCTTGGGGTAGAAGCATGGTGCCAGGGCAGTGCTTGTTTTGTCTGGCCCAGGTGAATGGTAACATACATGGGGATAATAACAGAAGTATTAATAATAATAATAAATAAAACAAAGGTTACTTGAGGCTCTCTGGTTCTGCAGCAGCACTCCTTCTTGAGGCTTGCTAAGAACTTGCTGTCCTTGGCAGTGCAGGACCTGACAGCACCTCCCTGGGCTGCTCTCCTGTGCTTATGAAACCCCAGTTTGCTGGGGAAGCTGCTGCAGAACAGCGTGGCCAGGATATTTCTTCAGCCTTTGCTGCTGTAGTGCTTCCAGACACTGCCAGACTGCACTGGATCTGCTGCCAGTGTTTCGACAAGACATTAAAAGAACCCCAAGGTCTCGCTTTTTAATTGGTCTCTTTAGTTCTGAGGCTGCAGAATGCGCAGGAATCTTCTACTGAACACTTTCTCTGTGCTCTGTGTCCATTGTTCCTTAATTGATGTTTGAGGCTATTGACCTAAAACAGTCCTCTGAATTTAGGCTTTGTGAAAGACACAATCTGACAATGCAGGTGATAAACTCAGGGCTGGTTGTCACGCACACTTGTCCCTGCTTTTCTTTTTGGGAAGGAATGAATTTGCCCCAGAACTGTTGCATGTACTGGGCAGTTCCCACTTTACTCTAAAACACAAGTAACCTCTGTTTCAAGCAATGACTTATGCTATTGAACCAGTGGGAAAAAAAATATTTCTGCCATAGGTGAGAGCATGCAGCAGCCCAGCACCTTGCTAGGAGGTGTGGAGGGGAGTCTGGAGGAAGAGGCTGTGCTGCAGTGATCACATCCCATGGAGCAGGAATGTATTGCAGGACAGTTGGCATTGCAGGAAGTCAAACTCCTTTCAACTTCCCAAATATTCCTCCAGACGCACAGGTTTGGAAACCCCACCTTCCCCAGATGCTGTTTCTGTTATTGAGTTCTGTGTCTTCATCTCATTCAACTTGCTGGAGGAAACCCAAGTTGTCTGGTGGTGAGTTTTCCCTCTGGAATGCCAGTGAAGGGCTATAAATAAGGGGTGATCTCCTGTGGAAATTGTGGGCCTCCTGTTTCAATGTATGGGGCAAAAGCAGGTGCTGGTTAGCAGCCAGCCTGGGGCTGTAGATAGGGTAGATGCCATTCATGTTTGCTGGCTATATGCTCTTATTTTAGCATCTAATCTCTGTTGATGAACTCATACGCTCTAACACTTCTCCAGCATGTCTGTCGTCTTGTTTTTCTATTCATATCTTGTTGTTTACCATCAAGGTAGGCTGAAATCCCATTGAACAAAGCTGGGTTAAACTTGTTTTTAAGTCTTCTCTGCTTTGGTTTTCCAGGAGTACTGCAAGAAGTCAAGAGCTTAGTGCAGCCAAATTTAAGATGTGAGGTGGCAAAAGGATGACACCAGCCTGCTGCTGTCATCTGGTGCATATCTTGGTGCTGTGGGCACTTTCTAAAGGGCAAAGTGCCCTCAGCTCTGCCCTTTGGCCTATAGCCCTAGCAGTACATTGTGAAGGTGCCACGGAGATGAATGGTGATCAGAGATTGGTATGAAACATCATAGCCAGGCTAGGAAAGCGAGCTTTGGTTTGAAATGGGATGCAATGAGCAGCCAGCAGGAGGAGCAGAAGGCAGGGGCAGACTCAGGGTAATTCTTGTCCCAAAACCAGAGTTAGCTCTCAATATTTGTATGAAAATCTGTTTGTTTTGCTGCTGCTGCTTTTCTTTTTCCCTCCCCAGGGTTGAAGTGAGGCTTTCCTGTCCTTTACTTGCTTGTTTTTCATGGCAAGGGCTGCTCAGAGTGAACTGCTCTTGATCTTGTCTGTCATTTCCTGCAGCTTGGGAAACGTTCACAAGCCTGAATACAAGGATAACTTTTCTTAATATCATTAGAAAAGAGAAGAGGAAGGTGCTTTTCTTTAAAATGAAATGTCACCCATTGGGTGGAGAAAGCCCATTGGAAACTGATGGTGATGCTTGAGCCGTGGGCTGGATGTGGAGGGATGCTGCCCAGTGCCTGAGTGTGTCTTTGCCAAATCTTCACAAGCAGTGGGTATGCAGCTGTCTTACACCTCATCTTGGCACATTCTTGTTACATCTCATCCTTTTTCTTCTTGAAAGCCCTTTTCTTTTCCAAAGAAGGCTCCTGTTGGGTTGTGCTTTGTGTCTGCTCTGAGTGCATTCCTTCCTGCCCAAGGTCCATCGCAGAGGTGGCCTTCCTTGGGTGGGGAATACATTTCCAAAGCAGTGGCTCTGAATGCTCTGAGTTTTGTATTCCAGCAATGCCAAATGGAGCAGAGGACTTGATTTAGCACTAGATGATGCTAAATGCTGCCTTTTTAAAATCCATGCTCTTTTTTTTATTTGCAGCAACCTCTCGCTGGCTGCACCTGGTGAGGGTGGGCTGTTAGTTGGATTAGATGATCATAGAGGCCTCTTCCAACCTTAATGATTCTATGATTCTACAGTTCTGGGAGGAGGAGACCATTCTTGCTCCTATTTTCTGCTGGCTTCTCCCAGACTTGCCTTTTGCTTGAGCTAACATCACCTAAAAGCACCTCCCTGAGCCCCAGTGCTTGCCCCTTGCCTCATTTTATATTGCTGGGAGTCCCAAGGACACAAAATCCTCTCTTCACTGATTCTTATGTTTTATCTCCTGTCCCTAAAGCTGGAGGGTCAGAGCTAGAAGACGATTTCTCTTCCACCTCTCAGGGTGGAGAAAAATAAAGTGAACACAAAGATCCAAGCCAGGCATGATAAATTTCTTTCCAAGTGTGCCACCTACTCCAGAAACACAATTTTGAAGGCGTTTGGGTGGCATTAGCACAACAAAGGAGAAAAAGAGTTGATGACCGAGGGCTTTTGTCATGCCAGCAGGTGGCTCTGGCTGGAAGGTCAGTCTAACAGATGTGTCTGATTGCTGGAAGCCCACAGTATCAGCACAATTTGCATTGCATTGCTCGACATGGCACAGGGCAATAAGGAGTCGTTAAGCCAAGAGTGCCATCTCTTCCCACCCTTAGCATGGCAAACCCTCTTCTGTAAGCGAGAGGCTGGGGATGGGGAGCTCTGGGGGGCTTTACCTCCAAAGAGGCCCATTGGGAATCCTGTGCTCTTTGGACAGCATTTCTAACCTGGCAGATCTGAAGGAGGACTACAGAGCAGAGGCTCAGTTGGTGCCTGTTGTTGAGTTTGCCATCCCTTCTGCTGGGGGTACTGCTATGGGATGGGGGGAGAAAGCATCCTGTTCTCCATTGAAACCACCCTGTGCCTGCTTGCCATCCTGCACTCACCCATGCGGAGAGCAGAGCCTCTTCCTCTCCCCCTCAATTATTTTTATTTTATTTTTTTGGGGTGCCAATGAAGGCGCTCTCCTTTAATCATCCCGGCTTGAGAGGGAAACGAGAGAGAGCCAGGGAGAGAGTGCAGTGAATTTAGAGACTCATCTTACCCCACCATGTTAATTATCTCTGCTGTAAAAAAGAGGTCAAGGAGAGGAACTCTACTAAATAGGACGACGTTGGCATGAACAGCTCCTAAAGTGAAGAAGGTAAGACTGAACTTTACTGGAACTTTTTTTTTTTAAATCTCTTCAAAAAGCTCCTAGATTAAAGCTCTGATATCCTTTTTGTTGAAATCTCATGGATTCTGAAGCTCAAATGGCTGGAAGGAAGCCCAGATAATTTTTTTTATCCCAGTCACTGAGAGGCTCAAAGGTTTTAAGTCCTGCCCCCATGGTGAATTGCCGAGTATATGGGAATATAGAAGAACCCAGCACATTGGTGTTCTGGCCATTGTTATCAAGAGGGAGAAAAATAAAATAGCTCTCTATGTAGGTCAATGACCTGCTCTTTATTGTCAGTAAAAAATTAAGGATGACCTAAAATCTACTACTTAAAAAAAAAAAAAAAAAAGACAGGGTAAAGTAGTCTCCCCCTAATCAAAGAGGAAATGTTTGTGTTACCTCAAGCTTGACCTCCTCAGTCTCTAACTTTAGCAAAGTCTTTGCAATTGAAAAGCAGTGGTCGAAACCTCAAAACCTGTCTGAAATGTCTATTAATTTTTGATCTTTCAAGGGAGTTGGCTTAGTTATTGTAGAAGCCCCCGTAGCGCTGGGTAGCGTAGTTAAGGGTCTCTCAGCATTTCCATTATAAAGCCCCAATATTCAAGGGCTTATCACTCAGCTGTTTCCACGTTGCACCTGCCTGGTCTCTGTGTTGTCTTTTTTGCTGGCTCACCTGCCATCCCCCTCCACCTCTTTGGGGGGAATAGCGTGCAGATTGGTGACGGCTCTAACATTGGGATGTCTCTTATGTTTTGCTCAGACCTCTGTGGGATGAGGGATGCGCTGGTTGGCGGCCACATCCTGAGCCCCTTCCTCATTGTTTCTAGATTGAAGGGGCTTAAAACACACCAGGTGGGGCTTTGGGGAATGCTGGTGAGATGGTTTGGGGGCTGATGGATCGGCAGCGTATCACCAGAGAAGGGCTGTCCAGGAGAGCCCAAGGGAAGGAAGGAGGAGCAGCTTGTTATTAATGACAAGGGCTGTTGGTGCCATCCTCCCTCACCCTTCCAGCCTGGGAAGTAATTTGTGTTGTGGGCGCCGACACAGCCCTCATCGCATCAAGGCTGTGTTTGATTAATACAGGGATTTTGGCTGAATGGTTTGTGTCTTCTGCTGTATTGCAGAGGCTCTTATTTATATGACGGGTTTGAGATATTTATGTCTGAAAACCTTTTCCTCTCTGGCTGCCTTTCTTTTGCCGAGCTCTTGCTTGAACAGCTCTCTGACATCTGGCCCACAATACATTGGATCTGTAGTGGGTACCTTGCCTTCAACACCTACTTCTATTTAAGCTCGCTGCCTGCCTTAAGGGGAGAGGTTTGAAGCCAGGGTGGCTTTTGACTGAAGCTGGCAGGCAATGAAATTCGCTGCAGCCCTAAGCGGTTTCATCAGGATATCAAGGGGCCGAGCTCTTTTTAAAATCCTGATTCCCCGGGCCTAATGATTCAGGCACTTAAAGTCCTACTGGGCTGAAACTAGACACACACACATGCACACACAAAGCCCACGGAGAGGGCAAACACATGTATTTCTAAATGCAACATCTGTGCCTCTGTCTGAAGCACTGAGACTGATGCAGCCGAAAAGGGGAGCGGATGCGCGTGGCTGAGCCTCAGAAACCAGGATAAACTGAGATAATCCTAATTGGGATGGACCCACCCATGGGACAAGGGTGCAGGGTGCATCAGATTAGGAAGAGCGAGTGCCCTAAATGGCACTGATATCTCATGTGGATGGGGCTGAAGGTCAGGGAAGAAAACCCCAAGTGGAAGCATGGTAGCTGTGTGACCCTGGGCATGGTGATTTTTTGAGACAATTCATTAAAGGAGGAAGAAAAAGCACGTGGATGCTCCCAGCCACAGGAAGGGGACCTGAGCAATGCTTGGCACAGAGACATCCTCTTCCAGGAGCATGGGTAGTTCTCATGTGCTGCTTGGAAAGGGCTCTGTAAAGCCTCCTCCATCCTCCAACCCCCTGCCCAGCCTTATGGCATCAGCCCTTCTGACCGCTTCCAAGCCAGGAGGATGCGATCGGAGAGGATGCCCTCATGTGACAGCTACACCAATCCAGGAGCAGCGATGGGAGCAGGCTGGGGATCTTTGCAAGGACAGTGGTAGCACGGGTTTGGGGGAAGATCCTCCCCTTACCGCAGCGAGTTGCGGGTGGTGCAGAGATGCAGCGGGGCCAGCCCCTCGTCGCTCCGGAGGTTGGGATCAGCCTGGTGCTCCAACAGTAGCTCGACACAGGCAGCGTGCCCCCCACGGCAGGCTTCATGCAGAGGGGCCCAGCCCCCCGGTGCCAGATCGGGGTCAGCTTGACGACGCAGGAGGTGCCGCAGGCAGGCGGTGTGGCCCCTGCTGGCGGCGATGCACAGCGGTGTGCTCAGCTCCTGCTTGTATTCCAGCGACCACAGCCCTGCAGGGGTGATGGAGATGCGTGAGGATGGGCTCGAGAAGTTTAGAAGCCCTCAGCCTTGCAGGTATTTAGGAGACACATAGTTGTGGCACTGAGGGGTACGGCTTGGTGATGGGAGTCATTAAGTCAAGTTTAATGGTTGGGCTTGGTTATCCTGAAGTTTTTGGTCCAACCAAGGTAATGCTATGATTTTGTTGCATGGTATGAGAAGACACTCGTGCCAGGTAGATAAATACCTTTGCTGCTGCAGGTTCTGTTCCTTCCCCTCTGCTGTGGGCAGCTGCTGAAAGCCAGCCCATGGGTTTCCTGCCCACAGCAGGGCAGGAGGAACTGTTCTTGCTGGTACAAAGCCAGCCCAGCATCTCATTACTGCCAGACAGGAGCGAGGCGACCTCTCCCAGCTGCCATTAAGGAATCTGGGCTGCAAGCCCTCTTGCAAGCATGCCTGACCCACAGGGTGCCCCCATCCCAGCCTGGAAAATGATGTGAGCACACGCTTCTTGCACTTTCCAGCCCCTCCATGTTAGTATGCATGGAACAGAAGAAAGCAACAAAAGTGCTGAGTGTTTCTGGCTAAGGTAGAAGGGCTAAGGCAACCCTTTAGCCAGAAAGGAGGCATCTCAGGAATAGGTTACAATGAAGGCAGCACCAGGCACTTAGGTGTGCAGTGCACCTCCCATTTGGTTAGGTTAGTAAATACCTGGGGTTGATCTGGGCTGTTTTTTAAAGAAAAAGTACCTGAGAGTCCATAAAATGCTTGGCTTTTCACCCGCCACTCCATCTCATTTTTACTGATCTCAAAAACCAGGTTGACATCTTCATAGTATCTGTCTGTCAGCACCTGCAGGCTCCTCAGGTTCCCTGTGACCAGGGCTTGGTAGTACTTCTCTGCAGGAGATGTGGGTGGATGCTGTGAATCCAGTTTGGGAGAAATCTGCAGCCTCTCTGTCACTGGTCCTGGTAACTTGTCCATGCCAGTGCTTCCCCTGCAGCCGGGAGGGCAGAGGGGCTTTTATAGGTCATTGTTTCCATTGTCCTGTCCTCATTGTCTAATTATAATCCAGTTAAGGCTCTATTGTTGTGGTATTTATAACTCCAGAGGGGTCAGATGATAATGGATACCCGATACAAAGAGGGTCAGGTGGTCACTGGGCTGTGCATGTTAGCATTGACCCCTTTGGTTCAATGGCTGTTCTAATTGCAGGTGGCAGATTGATCCCAACGCCCTTGTTTTAGGCTGGGAAATGTAACCAGCTCCCATCCGTCCAACCCCATATAAACATTCATGAGCTCTGTATAAGAGAGTATCCAAATGAGAAGGTGTTTTTCTCTATGACACTTTTCCATACCTGTTGGCAATCTCACCACAGCTGCACGGAGAAATCCATGCATTGCATCAGGGGACAGCACCGTGCAGCTGGCGTGTCAGCAAGCCTTCTCAAGGATGCAAAGCACTTGGCAAAGCCCACTGAGGTAAAACCCTCCAGAGCTTTTGGCAGGGGGAACTGCTTCTCCTGCAATGCCTTGTATAGGAGAGAAAGGACCCAGCCTGCTCCAAGGAGGGGGCTTGCAGCCATCCGCTCCCTCAAGGTCATGGGAGAAGTCCGTGGTGGGGCCAAGAATAGAGCTGGCATCTCGTGACTTGTGTCTCGTGGCTCTCAGTTACAAAAAGCCCCACGTCTTCACCTGCCAGCCCTTCCTCATGTGCTCGGGTCCTTCCTGCAGCCCTCTGCAAGGAGGGGTCTTTAGGGCTGCTGCTTAGAGAACCTGTGCATGCCCTGGCTCAGCACGCCTGTGCTGTTAGCTTTGCTTGGTGAGGCTGCAGTAACATCAGACTATTTGGCCCTGGAAGAGCAGGGTGCTGAGGAGGCTTGGCTGTGAGTGCCCTGTTGTCACCACCTGCCCAACAGCAGCAGCCTTCCAGAGCATCCCCTTCCCCAGACCACCCTGTGTGTGTGCTGGGGAGCTCACATATTTCTCAGGCAGACGTGGGCTAATTTTGCAAGGGGTGTCTGTGTGTGTTTGCATCTCAGGCATTAAATGCTGCCAACACACTGAAATGCTCCGTGACCCCTTCTTGTGAGCCTTGTAATCAGCATCTATTTGCACGTAGCACTCACTTCTTGGGTCATGCTAATGACAGGTTCAACAGCAGCCCTTGCAGGGAGTTAAAAATAGTCAGGAGTGGTGAGAGCAGAAGAAAAAAATCCTTTTGTATCTGAGTGGTACGAGCACACAGGCCTCTCCCAGTTCCCTCATGCAGGAGCCAGCTAAGCCTGGTGTTTTTTCCACTGGTGTGGGTAGAGAAAGCTGTCAGGATGAAATGGTATTTTCATGTTTTTAAGGGTAATGTTATCATAGAAGCAAGCATAATTTACTGGAGAGAGGATTTGGCAGGCAGAACACCTGCAGAGCATCTTGAGACTGAGTGGAAGTGGGGAAGTCATCCCTGGTTGGGTGTCGAAGGTAAATCATAAAACCATGACGTGGTTTGGGTTGTCAGGGATCCTATAGCCCACCCAGCTCCAACTCCTGCCATGGGTAGGGAGATTTCAGGCTGCCCAGAGTCCCATCCAGCCTGGCCTTGGATAGGGCATCTGCAGCTTCTCTGGGCAGCTGTGCCAGGGCATCACCACCCCCAGGGTGAGGAATTTCTTCCTAATGTCTAATCAAAATCTACCACCTGTAACCCGTGCTTTGTAGTGATGTGTTAGAAGCCATGGGCAAACCTCCATTGGGCAAGCCTGCATTTTGGATGATGGAGGGCTGAGACCTCAGAGTCTACGTGGTGCGCTGTGAAGCTTCAGCTTGTGCCATCCATTCACCCTGCTATCAAGGCCTCCGTGCAACGCAGCTCTGAGGGCCTGGGCCTGCCCCAAATTTAACCTGGGATCACCTTACGTGTCCAAAATTCCAAATGCTGGTGAGAAAAGGGTGATCACCCCATTAGCAATAGGCTCGCAACCATTAATCTCTAACATGGGGCAGCATCTTCACTATCTCCTTGAATACGAGCGTTTGCAGAGTACACCTCATTTAACAAAACATTAAGCATTTTACTTCCCCAGATCAAGCATATCTATTAATAATGACTTAAATTGTCTTCACCAGCTTTGCAATACAAGGAAAACTTACTGCTATCACACCAAATAGCACAACATGCAAAATCAAAGCGAAAAAAGCAAGAGCTTGTTTCCTAAGCCATTGCCATGAGCTGCCTCATAGCAACCTAGCCATAGCACTGGGGAGACTTCAGACCACGGTCGCTTCTTCTGCCAACCCTAAAGATTCAACATGCAGTCTTTGGTCAGGGTAAAAATCATTGGGGTCCAGATGTGCACGTGTGATTTAAAGCTGCCCTCCGGGAGTGGAAAAACAAGTTGTTATATATATATATATTTTTTCCCCAAGGAAATTTCAGCTGTGTGTGCACACAGGAGCCCTTGATGGAAGGGTGGACGGCCAGCTGCTCCTGGCTTCACGCTGAACCCATGATGGATTTAAGGTTTGCACCCTCCCAGCACCAAAGAAACAGAGATAATTAAGCCAGGTGGGGCTGTCCCACGGCGTTATGCGATAACCCGCCTGCTGTCCCACCTACCTCAGGAGGCTGGTTGTGCAAGGCTGGCTGTGCCAGGCTGGGCTCTACGGGTCCCTGTGAGGCTGGCATGGGCATCCCCAGCTCCTGCTGCAGGGCTGGGTGCTCCCGACGTGGGGACAGCCTGCTGGGCACACGTCACCACATTTATATTGCCGGCGCTGCTCAGCCCCATGTGACAGCACCGTGCCCCCAGCAGAGCCTCTACGGCTGAGCCTCTGGGCAGGAGGACAAAGCAGGATGCAGCAGGGAGGTGGGCGTCACGCCAGCAGTCTCCCCCTATAAAAGTCCTATGGGTGGGAGCCCTGCAGGACTGGCCTCCTGCTGAAACACGCGGCCGTCAGGAGGCTGCATCGATTTTTCTCTGGGTTTTATTGGGAATTAGCCTTTTTTTTTTTTTTTTTTCTCCAGGATTGTCAATTAACATTTAGACGGGAATTAAACCCTACAGCTATTAGCTGCACTAAAAATACAACATGCAGGCTTCCCCTGTCCCCTCCCCTGCCGAAGAGGCGCACGGCGTTAATTACAGTGTGTGAATTCAGCCCGGGTGTGCATCCTGTTTTAGGGGGAATCACATTTCCATCGGCTGGGGGCTGGCTGGCACAGAGCTACCAATTATTTAACCCCTCAGCAATGTTGTGGTGAGATGTCACGTGGAGTGATGAGAGGGAAAGCTGTCTCCAACTGACCTTGCGTCACGTGGCCGCGGATCAGTGCAGAGCTGCTAATGGCATTTGCTAATTAGCAGTCACCCAGCGGTCCAGTCTCTCTCTCCAGCAGTGTGGTCTCCTGCTTGCCTTGTGTGCCTGCCAGCACACACTGGCTTGCTCACGTCCACCAGGTTGTCTTAGTCCTTCTTTGAAGAGCTTTTCCCAATCAGCACTTCACCCACTCTGTACAAGTATCTGGGATTGCCTCAACCCAACTGCAACACCTCGCACCTTGCTGAACCCCATTAGCTCCACGTGGGCCCAGTTTTCAATCCAGTTCTTTCTGGATGGCATCCCATTCTTCTGTTGTATCAGAACACGAGGTCAGAAGGAAGACATTGAGGATCCCAGGATGAGTTCCTGGACCCTGGCACCACCAGGGAGCAGGAGAGGTTCTGGTTTTGCTCCAAGGCTAGGTTAGCTTTCAGCACCTGGAAGCATCATGAATTTGGGAAGGGCAGGTATTTACAGGATGGAAAGAGAGTTTCCCAAGAGCACAGTAATGAGAAAGTTAAGGGAATAATTACTTGCCCTCTGGGAGGAACAAACTCAACTATCCCTTTCTGTACATATGCATTTCTGAGGGATTGATTTATTCCTTATCAGTGGGCACCTCTGAACTTCACCTGACAGCGTTAATTAGTGAGGACCAGGCCCAGTTCATTACCGGTGTGACCTCTCCTTAGCACAGCTGTGGCTCACCAAGGTGGCCATCTGGTTTGTATGCTAGTTCACACCCATCAGGTTGTGCTCCTGCAATGGGTGAGGATCTCCCTTCCATCCCTCACCCACTTGGGAAATTACAGGTTAGGGAAGCATCAGGATGGAGTGGCTGATCCTTGGGGCTGGTCCATCCATCATGTTGGGTGAGCTGTCAGCAGGTACCAGAGCAGAGGTACGTGAGTCCATTGAAGTGCCTCTGGCCTCAGTCGGGGGCTGATTTGGGTTAAAAGCAGCAGTTTTACCTGCAGGATTGAGTTAGTCTGGGTAAAGGAGATAAGGAGATGGTTATCCTTCTACTCAGGCATCAGCAGGGTTTGCCTTTGGGGCTGATGTGCCATGCAGAAGTGCATTGATGTGCTGGCACACCTGTGCAGGGAGTGGAGAAAAGAGAAGATACTGGTTGCAGAAGGGCTGAGCCTGCGGCAGTGGGAACCCAGAGGATGGCTGCTTTGGGGTGGCAGGGAGGGGCCTGTCCTGTCAATGACTGATAGAAGTGTGCTCAGCATCCTGCCCGCCTGATTGAGGGGCAAGAGGAATTTTCCCCAGGCAAAGTGTTGTCAGAGCAGGAGGCATGTTGCTCCTGCTTCCCCTCCGGAATTAATTATACCTAATTAAGCCCTCGCATTCTCCAATACGTTGCCCCCCCCCCCCAGCGCTATGGTGTGGTTTCAGCCAGGCTGTGCAGCAGAAGAGGACAGCAGCTCCTTCCCTCCTGCTTTTGGGACACTCCAGCCCGTGTGGAATGGGGTCAGCTGTGGTCTTGTGGGCTTGGATCGGTCTTTCTGCCCATCAGATGTCAACTTTCAGCCCAACGTGGGTGTATTTTGGCTTTCTGAGAGCTGAATGGACAGTGGTATTTTTGATGGAGAGGACAGGATTGTACTCAGCCCTTACAGCCCTCTTCTGCTTTTCACAGGGCTGGGCTGATCCCACCAGCTGAATAACAAATACTCAGATTCTCTTGGTGTTTTTCATACAATCTTAGGCTCACAGGATGGTTTGAGTTGGAAGGGACCTTAGAGATCATCCAACCTGGCCTTGAATGCCTCCAGGGATGGAAGCATTCTCTTTCTTCATTCCATTCTCCATCCCTCCACCCTTCTTCTTTCTAGAATTTAATTATGATTAATTGTTTACTTAGGAAGCAATTGTCCTACTTCATTAAATGGCCCCTAGGTTGTTCCTCCTCGTTTCCCAGTGTGTATCAGGACACAAGGAGCTGGGACAAACGATGATTTAGCTGGGACTGAAAAACAGTCCCAATTACTCCTGGGACCTGGGTCCTTTTGTTAATGATGCCTTTCTGCAATTTATAGGATCATATTTTTAAGGAGAAACGGCCCACCTGTGGGAAGCCATACAGCACTGGCGTTGCAGGAAGCCTTGCAGAGATCAGAAACGCTTTGAGCCTCTTTTGAGACAAGGAAGATGTAAAAAGGCAGATGTTGCTCTTCTTCCAAGGTGAGGGGCTGTCTGCAGGTGGGTGAATGTGGGTGCCCCATCCCTGCAGGCACTCAAGGCCAGGTTGGATGGGACCCTGGGCAGCTCAATCTGGTGGGGGACAACCAGCCCACGTTTGGTTGGGGCTCTATGATCTTTAAGATCCCTTTCTACCCAAGCCATTCTGTGTTCTATGCTTCCCCCTCACCCTATCGCTATCACCGCCCATGTAAAAAGTCAGTAGATGCAATGGGTTGTCCAGCCAGAGTAAACCCTGTGCTTGGAGGAGCACGGATGCTGAGAGCGTGCAAAGCTCAACAAGAGCCCTAAATGATTTGGGGATCTTGTGCAGCTTGTTATCTTCAGTGTTTTATTATTTTATTTTTTTTTCAAATCCCAGCAAGAAGTAATACTCTTTCTGTTCAGAATAGAAATGGCTTGATGCCATGAGGAAAAATAAAAGGAAGCTCTACCTGGTGCTGTGATGATTTGCAAGGCTAGTGAGAGACTACATAAGGCGTTTTCAAATAGACTCTGATATTTTCAGTGCTTAAAGAGGACCAACTACGTGACACCCTTTTTGAAGTCCTGATTTACAATGGGCCCAGGCTGAGTGCATTATAATTTGCTGCCAGAAGTTCCAAAGTCGCAGTACTTTCAATAATGAGGAGAGAAACCCTAATATGATGAGACTTTTTGTATTGTGTTTAATGAAAAGCTAAAAATGTGCTAATTTGTAAGTCCTGTTGTGGTAGTGGCATCAGAAGCTTTTGAAATGCATTACTGACTTAGGAAGTATTAAGAAAAAATGACATTTTGCTACTAGCAGAAAAGTCAATTATAACGTTTCCACACTTTAGAAAATTGCTGATGCAGGATGGGAGTTAATAGAATAGTCAGTTTCACTTTGTATTACAGGATTTGGGGGGTTTTGCTGAGAAATGTCTGGTAAGAAAAAAATAAAAATCTGACATTATCTTAAACAATAAACTCCCACCACGTTGGTGGGTCGCTGGTGGATGCATTCATGGTGGGCCCTGAAATGTCGTGCCGCTCCCTTTGGGGTGGGTTGGGTCAATCAGCACCAATATGGCCTTGCTTTGGGCTGATTTCTTCCTGATGGTGGAGGACCATGTGCTAAAGCACCTAACTCTCTGCAAGGTTGCACTTCCCATCTCCTTGAGGGGAAAGCAGCAGTAATAAGTATTTCCTAAGCTGCTGGGAGCGGATGGTCAGGGAGACTCATTGCCATTGCCTGCAAGGTTCAGTGCTGGGTGCAACGACCCCCACGTTGGGGGCATGGTTCTCCCCATAACCCTGCTTCTGGATCACTTCATGCAGGCTAGCAGGGCAAAACAGCTCCCGTGAAATTGGCAGGGATCACCAACAAGTGTTGGCATTGCTTTTAACGGGCCCTGCAGCACCTGATTTAAAGGGCTTTGGCCACAGAGGCATAACCTGAGCTCTCAACATAAGCCAGGGGGGCTAATAATACCCGAGCACATTGTGAAAGCATGACCTCACGGTGCTGGCAGCCTCTGTTCCCAGCAAGGGCTGTCTGGGTGATTTAAGGGGCAGGGATAGTGCCTAGGGTCTGTAATCTGCATCTGGGTGCTCCCAGCTGCTTAGGGTTTTTTTGCCCAAGGTGGTGGTGGGTTCCCATCCCTGGAGGTGTTTAAGGGATGTGGCACTTGGTGGACACGGTGCCAAGTTGGCCAGTTGGATGGCTGGTGGTCTGTTCCAACCTAGATGATGTTGTGATTCTGTGACAGTTTATTTCTCTAATTGCACGCTGGCTTTCATGAGGTTTTTGATGAGAACAAGGATTTCTTAGGAATACCCCTTCCCTACATTCAGAGTTTTTTTAGGGGGGAAGGTCCTGCTTTCTGTTAGAGTAGAAAGGCAGGAGTGAGCAGGAGCACTTTTAAAAAGTCATGTCATATGTAGTTTTCCTGGGTTTGGAGGAAGCAATTAAGCCAATTAATTTATTGGTAAATTATCTGATGATGAAGTACAAAATAACTGCAATGAAACGCTGACATTCACATTAATACCAAATTAGTTACTGTATTATGACTGTTCATACAATGAATGCCCAGTAATTTAATAGTAATGGGACATTTAAATAATTCAGTTGATAATTCTCTAGATCACTTACATATATAAATGGGCATGACAGATTCGTTGCTCAACTTTGCTGTGGATTGCCTCCCACAAAGCAGCCCAATGCCCTGCCTGCTTTGGGGGCCAGCAACCCCAAAACAACCTGGCCTCTTGCTGGGGGCTGTGCAGAGGATGG